AACAATTTTTTATGTACAAAATAAATGAGAATATTTATCAAAGCATTGTAATAATGAAAAATAGAAAATAACTATATATTCATTAAGTAAAGAAAGGATTTGTTGTGGTTTAAACATAGACTACAAAATAAGCAATAATGGTGGCTTCATGCTAGCATTTTGGAAGGCTGAGGTGGGTGGATTGCTTGAGCTCAGGAGTTCAAGAGCAGCCAGAGTAAGAGCAAGACCCTGTTTCTACTAAAAATAGAAAAACTAGTCGGACTTTGTGACAGGTGCTTGTAGTAGAACTACTTGGGAGGCTGAGTCAGCAGGATCGCTTGAGCCCAAGAGTTTGACGTTGCTTTGAGCTATGATGACGTCTCGGCACTCCATCCAGAGCAACAGAGTGAGACTCCGTGTCTCAAAAAAATAAAAATAGAAAACAAAGTGGGTATACAGCATCAAAAAAAAAAAAAAAATTTTAACTGAGAGAAATATTTAATTTTTTTTAGATATTAAGGAAAGTTAGAATATAAAATCTTTTTATAAATTGAGGATTTTCTATGATAACTATCAGAATTCCCTACCCCTACTTTTTTTCTAAATGTAATTATATAGTATATACAGCCTTTGCTCAGTATCCATGGGAGATTGATTCCAGGACCTTGCTCTGGTACCAAGATGTATGGATGCAGAACCTGCAGATAAGAGGCTTGGTTGTACTTTATTTCTCTAGTGTTCTTTCTACACAAAATAAGTTTTTCAGTATAAACAGACTGATTCCTTGATTTTGGACTTTATTCTAGCCCTACTTTGAGTCCCAATAAATTTAACTCTGAATATATTTTCTCATAAGACAAAGTTGGAGAAATTAGTGTATAGATTTAAAGCCAACTGTTAAAACACAGCCTGAGATATATATGTCTATATATATTCCCCCCCCCCATCTACATGTTCTTTTAGATCAGTACCTTTATTAAAATTTAAGATTCACCTTCAGTTTTCATCTTGATGTAGGGACATCAGTTTTTATAAGTAATGTGTTTATTCATTGTAACTGGGTTTTCACTATTTAGATTACCTTCTAGATGGTGACAATTTTTTTTTTTCTGCCTCAGCATCCCAAACATCTGGGACCATAGGTGCCTACCATAATGCCTGGCTACTTTTCTTGTTTTGTTGCTCTAGCTGGCCCAGGCTGGGTTTGAACCTGCCAGCCTCGTTGTATGTGGCCGGCACCCTACCCACTGAGCCACGGTCACTGCCTAGGTTTTCTATTTTTAGTAGAGATAGTGTCTTACTCTTACTCAGGCTGATCTCTGAGCTCTTGACCTCAAGTGGTTCACCCACCCTGGCCTCCCAGAATGCTAGGATTACAGGCCTGAGCCACCACTCCTGACTGTGGGTTAAGGTTTTAAAAAATAATTACATCATACTGTCTTATGAAATGGACTGATGGATCTTATGTTTAGCTTTTCATGTTTCCCCAAAAATAAGACACTGTCTTATTTTTTCTCAAGAAGACAAACTAGGGCTTATTTTTAGGGGCTGTCTTATTTTTATTAAGTATAATACAACAATCTACATTTATTCAAATACAGTTAAATCATCTTCTTTTGGAACCTGACAGGGGGAGCCAACCTTGTTGGTAGGGCTGGCGCTAGTGATGCATGAACTCCTTTCTCCTAGCCGTTCACTCGTGTGCAATAGGATGCCTGGGATCTCGGTTACCACACACACACCTGCACAAGTGCAAACAGCTCGGAGAAAGGAGCTGTAGCAGATAAAAGGTATTCCAGTCTTCCTTACTGGTCCACGCCAAAATGCATGGCGTGGCTATCACTAGGTCTTATTATCAGGGTAGGGCTTATATTTAACAAATGCATAGAAATCCTGCTTGGGCTTATTTTTTGGGTAGGTCTTATTTGGGGGGAAACACGGTAGATAAATCTTAGCTCGGAGGGTAGGAGGAATTAAACTTTGATGTCATTCACCATGAAAAAGAGTAACTCACTTTGAAAGGAGCAAAACATTAAGGCTAAATCAAAAGTAAAATTCCATTTAATGATCATGGTAGGACTTCAGAATAGTTTATTAAATTCAGGTCATATTTTACTAGCAACTTGTTGCTATAGCATTGTCTTAAATCAAGTAAGTATTCTTAGTTGTACTGACCTGTATTGTCAGTAATATTTGGGAATGGAAACTATATAGTAGGCTTTTTATTTTTTCCTGAGATGGGCAGGAAATCTGTTATAAGAAGACACAAATCCAAAAATAGAGATACTTGAGAAAGTTAATGTTCCTCTTTATCTCAATACCAGTGCCTTCTTTTTTTTCCCCCAAACTTTATTTCTGTACTTTATGCTTTGTACTCCAAACTTTTCAAAACAGGATAAAACATAATCTAAAACTAGTCTTTCCCCAGAATTTGTTTTTATCTCAGAAACCAAGCTTAGAGGAAATGTAATATAGTATGATTTCCTGCCTTATGATTTTTAGGCATCCCCACCAATAAGTCTCAGTTTCTGGGCTCTTAGGTTAAAATAGCTAAGAAGCTGACATCAGGTTATAGAACATTATTACAGGTTTATTAGTCTCTGAATGCTTTTTTCAGTCAGCCTTTTAAAATATATTCTTTCAAAGTATTTTCTACTACATTTGGAATCCTGTTAGTGAACGTCACCTGAAAACTTAACATCTTATCAGATGGTTGAATATAATTCTGGAACATTTATGACTTTAAGAGCTTATCCCAAGTATAACATAATAGTTTTTTTTTGTTGTTGTTGTTGTTTTTGAGACAGAGCCTCAAGCTATCCCCCTGGGTAGAGTGCCGTGGCATAGCTCACAGCAACCTCCAACTCCTGGGCTCAAGCGAGTCTCCTGCCTCTGCCTCCCATTGCTGGGATCACAGGCCCCCACCACAACGCCTGG